AAAAAAAAAAAGAGAATTGCTTAAGCCCAAGGGTTTCAGGTTGCTGTGAGCCATGATGCCACTGTAGTTACACTCTATCTCAAAAAAATAAATGAAAAACAAACAAACTGGCTCGGTGCCTGTGGCTCAAGTGGCTAAGGTGCCAGCCACATACACCTAAGGTGGCAGGTTCAAATCCAGCCCAGGCCCGCCAAAAACAACAAAGATGTCTATAACCAAAAAATAGCGGGCATTGTGGTGGGCACCTGTGGTCCCAGCTACTTGGGAGGCTGAGGCAGGAGACTCGATTGAGCCTAGGAGTTGGAGGTTTCTGTGAGCTGTGATGCCACGGCCCTCTACCCAGGGGGATAGCTTGAGGCTCTGTCTCAAAAAAAAATAATAAATAAATAAAAAATAAACAAAAAATAAAACCATGATATAAACCTCTTCATGCAAAAATCTTTTTCTGTGTTTAAGATTATGTCCTTAGCATATTCTTTCAGATATAGAATTACCAGATGAAAACCCTCTAGATTTTAAAAAAATTATTATTATTTTTCTTTTTTGAGATAGACTCTCAGGCTGTGACCCTGGATAGAGTGCTGTGGCATCACAGCTCACAGCAACCTCAAACTCTTGGGCTTAAGTAATTCTTTCGCCTCCCAAGTAACTGGGACTATAGACAGTCGCCAAAATGCCCAGCTATTTTTTTTGCTGCAGTTGTTATTGTTGTTTTAGCTGGCCTGGGTTGGGTTCAAACCCACCAGCCTTGGTGTATGTGGCCAGCGCCCTACCCACTGAGCTATGGGTGCCGCCTGTTATTTTGTTTTAATCATAAAAGTAACATAGCTTATTTGGGAAATTAGGAAAATATAAAGAGGTCTTGGGTAAAACAAAAAGCACTGTAATTTCGTTACTCACAGAAAAAGAAAAAACATTTTGGTGTATTTTTCCAAAGATCCTTTTTTTTTAAACAAGTCATGTCATTAATTTGTGTTGGTTTTGATTTTTTTTCTTTTTTTTTTTTTTTGAGACAGAGTCTCAGTTTGTCACTCGGTAGAGGTATCAATGCTCACAGTAACTACAAACTCTTGGGCACAGGTGATTTTCTTGCATCAGCCTCCTGAGTTGCTGGGACTACAGGTGCCTGCCACAACAGTCTTAGTGACAGATGGTCTTGCTTTTGTTCAGGCTGGTCTTGAACTCCTGAGCTCAAGCAATCCAGAGTACTAGGATTAAAGGTGTGAGCCACCACACCCAGCATGCTGGTTTTAAATTCAGTTCCTATTTCTGGGGTATCAGTAAGCATTAATTGAAAGCATTCCATCATTCATGTAATTAATATGAAATGTTAAGTAATGCTCCTAATGTTTTTTTTTCTCTAGAACTTAACCAGAGGTGTGACCTAAGTTATTTAGATACTTGCATAGGATCAACTAGTGATCCTCTGAGTGTTACCCAACTTCCTGTGTAGGGGGTGCCACAACCACTTACACAATAGCCAGACTATAATTTCCTAGTTTATAAATGAAAACCAAAGCTTTAATTAAGTGCAAGATAGACTATTACTCAGTCCAGCTTCACAGTTAAAAGCTGTGTTAGTCTTTGAGTCACTCGATTCAGTATGTTTGCTCTCTTCACTTGGTGATTTCTTAGAATAGCTAACTTAGTAGTTAACTTAAATCAGCTTAGTTCACTTCCTGTTTAATACAAGCCTGCATGCCTTCACAATTAACTTCTTTTTTTGTTTGTTCTTTTTTGTAGTTTTGGCCTGGGCGGGCTTGAACCCGCCATCCCCACCCCTACCCCCCCATATATGGGGCGGGTGCCCTACTCCTTGAGCCACAGGCGCCGCCCCACAATTCTTTGTGCCTTTCATGGTTTTCTAAATGTTCTTCAAAGTAAGAGTTAATGGTGTGTAATAACACAGTGTAGTTCATTTTTCAAAATAAGGAGCCCATTCCTTCTGGCTGGACGTGATGAGGACCATTTCCTGGATAGGGAGGCTTGTGCTGCCTCTAGTGGCAGAAAATGGCACTGCTACATGTGGGGGACCCTGGGTTGCGTATAGGAACCTGCTACCCCATCCCCTTTCCAGGTGCTGGGGTGCAGATAGAAGGGGACAGGGCTATGTTTCACGCTGAGCAGGTCATCTGCAGAACACGCTTTTGGCCCCCTAAGAGCATGTTAAGATATGACAGGGTGTCACCTGTGAGGTGGGTATGTATTTGCAGTGAGAGAGTGCAAACTGTATGTCCTTTCCCTTTCATAAGTAATTTTTATTTAAAAGTATATAGTTGGGTGAGCACAGTGGTTCATGCCTATAATCCTAAAACTTTGGGAGGCCAAGGTGGGTGGATTTCTTGAGCTCAGGAGTTTGGGACCAGGCTGAGCAAGAGTGAGACCCCATCTCTGCTAAAAATAGAAAAACCAGGCACGTGTTGTGGTGGTGTGGTGGGCACCTACAGTCCCAGCTACTTGGGAGGCTGAGGCAAGAAGATTGCTTGAGCCTAAGAGTTTGAGGTTGCTGTGAACTATGATGCCATGGCACTCTACCCAGGGTGACAGAGTGAGACTCAGTCTCAAAAAAAAAAAAAAAAAGAATGTAGTATATGTCACTTGTCTTAAGTGGATAAGAGATAAGGATAACAGCTTGTCTGTTCTGCTATGGTGATCATTGTGTTGCTTGACTTATCAGTTGGGGAAACAAGGAGTTTTGTAGCCATAGCTTTCTGTGTCTTTGGTTTTTATATTCTGGTTGTTTTGTTTTGATAGACTTTTAATACTTTTTGCATAACACCTGTAAACTCACTCATTTGCTTTGCCTAGGTCAGACCTTTCTACAGTTAGAGCATCTACAGGCTTCTACTTTTCCCTAAAAACGATTTCCTATACTTGGGTGGGGTGCTACGTCTCTAGGCTTCCATGGGATGAGGTCAGGCAGGCTTGTGGTGGGCACCAGGCCTGACAGCCTCTGCTTTCCCCGCAGACCGCTCCCCAGCCCACCCCGCCCCACTCAGTCGCTCAGCCTCCCTTAGTTATCCAGACCGCACAGATGCCTCACCCTCGACAGCCTTGGCAGGGAGCAGCAACCAGTTTGGCAGCACCGTCCTGGGCCAGTACATTTCTGACTTCAGTGTGCGTGCACTCATGGACCTGCAGTACATCAAGGTGAGTGCTTCCTTTGGCTGTCACATGGACAGCACTGTCTTCCTCATCTCTGGCCCACAATCAGCAACTTCTTTCTTTCATCTACCAAACCCAGCATGGAGGGTCAAGACCCAAAAGCTACTATTTCTTACTCTTGCTTTCTAGCTCTTTTTAAGGGTTTCTGGAAACTCTGCCTGGTCATGTCTTGTCTCTTTAACTTGCAGCCCCAATCCTGGCCACGTCTCCCCTGGCGTGGAGTCTGTCTCCCAGCCCCCTCTCCATGAACTCATTTCTCCCTCTTGCAGATCACACGGCAGCAGTACCAGAATGGGCTGCTGGCCTCACGCTTGGAGAACAGCCCTCAGTTTCCCTTGGATGGGTGCGCTGTGCTCACGGAGAACTGTACTGAGAAGCCTGAGTTGCTTGTAGTGGATGAAACCACAACTCTTCTCAACGAGCGTAACTCCTTGCTGCACAAAGCCTCCCACGAGAGTGCCATCTGACAGGAGGGCCCGGGGCCCCCCGCCCACCCTGCGGGGGCTTCCCCAGTGGGCCCACATGAAGAGAGGGAGCATGTTAGGCCAGAAAGGATGCAGATAGATAGCCTGTCTGACTGAGCAGCCAGATGGCCCCCATCTGTAGGGATCTGGCCTCCGACAGGGACCTGTGAACCACTCTAAGGTGGCTCCTGCCCTGCCCTGGATTGTGGGGCAGTGGGCCAGCTACCACGAACAAAGGCTGTTTTTTACTGAGAGCATTTCTAAACTTGGCTCATTGCTCCTCTTTTTAAATATCATTTTGGGAAGGGAAGACAGGGTTAAGGAACTTTATTTTAGAAAATTTTTTTTCCGAAACTTTAAAAGGGGAAGGGTCTTTTACTCCGGGAAGCAATAGCCATAATCGGCTCCCAGCCGTGACCTTGCAGCTGTGTTCCTGACTCAAGGAGCTCACCCTTCCTCTTCCTCCTCCTCAAGAGGTGAGATCTCAGAGCCTGCTGGAGGAGGGTTATGTCTTGGGAGGAAGATGGCTCTTCCTAGGAAGCAAAGAACCAAATGGCATTGAGATCAGCTGCCTGGACACATGTGCTACAGCTTATCTGACATCACTGAGGCCTCGGGCTTCTGGGTCACTATGATGAGGGACATGATAATCCCAGCCACAGAGAAGCTGCTGTCAACCGCTGGACCCAGGAATCTCCCAGAATTCCACCAACGGCCTCTCCTGGTGAGTTAGGACTCAGCTGAGGACTCTCTCTTTTGTCTCCCATCTGCCTCTTTAAACAAGTACCCCTTGTAATGGGGCTGACTCAGAGTGTTAGGCAGGGTCTTAGAGCTTTATGATCACTTGCCCTGGCTCCCCCAGACCCTGCCCTCACTTTTACCAAAGGTTTCCCTCTTGGTGGGAGGATATCTACTACGTTAGAGGTGACTCGTCTGGGTTATTCCTTTTGGTTCCAGGAGTGAGTCTGGTCATCGGCATCTGCATTGTTAGCAGTTAATACCACCCCCACCCCACAAGGAAAGTCAAGGCTCAGTTGAGGACCCATGAAGCCCTTCTTTCCAGACTCCCTATTTTTAATCCCTAAACCCCAGTCCCTCAGAAGGGTTGGGGACAAGAGGACATATTATAAGCCACCTAAGCAAGTTCTTTATGCCCTTTACCCTGTGGCTGGCTGATGCTCATCTGACCTTATTCACCTATTTATGGAACCCCAGAAAAGGAGGGTTCTACCTCAAGGCATGCAGCTATAGCCGTTTCCCCACCTCTCAGTGATCTAGTGTGAAAGGTCATACCAGCCTTTGCTGAAGCGAGTGGTACTGTGCCGATAGCTCTACCCCCATGTGAAATTCTGCCCCAGCGCCTGTTCCGTGGAGCTGAATGGGCCCTACAGTAGGACCCAGGTCCACTTGGCCCATTGCATGCAACAGGAGCTGGGGCCAGAGATCTAGGCGAATGGGACGCTACAGGCCTTCTGCCTGAGTATTGTTCATTCACTTCTTTCCTCGCCAGTGGAGTCACCCCAAGTGCTCTGTTCTCCAGGTGCCTAGAGAATCCTAAATCTTGGGACCAGGGACTGTTTTGCACCAAGTATGCCTACCCCTGGCCAGTCTAAGGTCTCTCTGAGTCACAGAATTGACTCTTAGAAGTCTGGAGAAAAAGTGGTGATTGATGCCCTTGAGTTCTTAGCTGTAAGGAAAAAAAGACACCAGACCTTTATTCCCTTTTGAGGGAAAGCCCTTAGTTTTCTCCAGGACCATCTTGCTCCTGAGTCCTTATGAGAGCTGGCAGAACTGTGTTCTTTAGAGGCCTGGGTGCCAGGTGGAGCAGAATGCATTGGCCCAAACCAAGCAAGTGTGTGTAAAGCAAAAGAGGCAAGTGCACACACTTCCACAGCTACCTCTTTGCACACACGGTTACTACCAACAGACTGTCCTTCCTCCTCCTTTCCTACCGATAATCACTTCTTAGAGAGGGTCATAATTATTTCCATGTATTACCAGTCTGATGACTTCCTCTCCTAGTGCAATTTTTCACTTCCTATTTCCATGTCTGGTTCCTGGGATGAGCCATACCCTGGAACTGGCCCACCCCATATGTCTTCCCGTGAAGGAAGGCCTTTGCAAATGGCATCCAAATGGGTAGGCAGGTCACAGCCGCCATAGCAAATAACTCATATTTATTTTGCATAAGATTTTAATTTGTATATTTTTGTGATTTATTTTGGCATTGTTATGAGTTTGACTCTCGGGGAGTTTTGTTGTTATGACTCTTGTGTCTTTTGTCACAAAACAATGATAATATTTGCTAAACAATATATGGAATTTATTTTTGATTGGTAATAAAAAACGAAATATGTATACATCTTGGTGAGTCTACAACTTGCCTGTTCTGAGTTCTGTTGGTATTTAGTACTGGTGTAGAGATAGATGTAGCTGTAGCTGTGGCTGGCTATCACTTGTGACAAGGTGAGGGGCAGTAAAAGATCCTGGGCCTATTTAGTGGTGAAATGCAAGCAGTAGAATTTATAAAATAGATATAATCAAGACTATTGTCACAGGAGATAGAGAGTGGTGGCTGCTGATAGACATACAGGGCAAATATGCCTGCGTGCCACAAGCATGAATCCTGTAAACCAGACACCAGGGCATCTTCTGTCAGCAGGTCCTGGATGGGGCAGTTGGGATGAGCAAATTGCCCCTCCTCCCTCCCCAGGCCACTGAAGGGAGCTTGATCCAAAAGTATGACTGTACTGTTTCATAGCACACAGTTGCCTTTTTGTTCACACTCCTGGGCTGGTTTGGTTGCAAAGTTGGAATGTTCATCTTCTGAAGAGCCCAACTGAAGAGTTAGCTCACTCCAAAGAGGCAGCTATGCAGATGCCTCCCACAGTGTGTGCAGGTGCTAGAGGCTGGTTCCTGTGAGTGACTGCACTGGGGTCAAGCAATGCTTGACCAAACAGACAAACAGAGGAGTGTTTGAAGAAAAGGAAGCATGTGGATAGGCAAAAAAAGGGAGAGGATATTCCAGATAAAAGGAGTTACAAATGCAAAAGTTTATGTATAGGTGGGCAAGTTACTGTCATCCGTTTGTTCTACACATTTAAGCCCCTGCTACATGCCAGGTGCAACAAACTCCTTAGTGAGTTTAGTGAGGAAGACCTCCTAAGAGAGATAGTTACATAAGGCCTTTTGACTTGCTATCTCCTCTGCCTGGAGACTCCCAAGTCTTTGGTGAGGCTCACCCCTTATTTCATTTAGGCCTCTGTTCAAATGTCTCCATGAAGGACCCTCATGCCTTCAACTACCCCACTCAAACAGTATTACCCCAATCCCTCTATCTCCTCATTTTCCTTTCTTTTTCTCCATTGTACTTATTACCAGATATTAAAATATAGACTTGTAGGGCCAGGCATGGTGGTTCACACCTGTAATCCTAGCACTCTGGGAGGCCAAGGCATGTGGATTGCCTGAGCTCACAGGTTCCAGACCAGCCTGAGTCAGAGCGAGACCCTGTCTCTAAAAATAGCCGGGCACTGTGGCAGGCGCTTGTAGTCCCAGCTACTTGGGAGGCTGAGGGCAGAGAATAGCTTGAGCTATGACGCCATGG